ATCAACGAACGAGAGGTTTTCGGCTCAACTTGAAAAGATTTTCCGTTCAAAGATTCCGCGCAAAGTTGTTTAAGTTCGTCAGGATTCTTGTAAAAGCATGGAGGTCGTGTTGTTCTTCTGTATACGCCAAAAAGACGTCGAGAAGTTGCAACAAGGTGAGAGACTGGAGTAGCCCTAGAAGCTCGGTAGCAACAAATAATGTTAATCAGAGCAACGGTTGTAGATCACGGTCGTTTGGAAGATCAAATTCCTTTTATGCAGAAGCGATTGCTGATTGTTTAGAGTTTATAAAGAATTCTTCTGTTTCTCTGGATGATAAGTCAAATATTTAGGGTAAAGTTAGATTTTTTTGGGTAATCACAGTATTTGGTACATTTGTTTGATTAGTCCATATGGTTAACACATAACTTCTTATACAAAAACTGAACAAATATCAGCCATTTTGGTCGATGAGTATAACTCTATAGGAACTAATAGCTTATAGCTCTGTGTCGAAATTGAATATGAGATATGATACTATATTGGATGCAAGAGTCGAGGGCTAAGCTAGGTCTCGATACGATCAGAGATCTGTATTCTTCCTTTTTTGAAATTGTAAAGAAAACGGAAAATGAATATCAAATGGTTATGTTTTATTCTCTTTTGTTTTTCTCGTTATTCTACTTTCAATTTGTCGATAATCTTTTATTATAATCATTCATTTAGTTAAGCATATAGAAAAAGAACATGATTTGTTTAACAAAAATCAACGGTGTACGTGTGTCTGAATGAATGATTGATTGAACTGAAAATGAATATGAATTATCGATTTGTGTCCACGGGCATGCGAGAATTTTTGTTTTCTTTACTACCTTTTTTTTATTAACCTGGATATCCAATATGCTATACAAGCCGACTAATCCCAGTAAGAACACATGCTTTGTGGATAGCCTGGAGTCACCGCATTTAAACCTCCGTGACCACAGGGGGATTTTTAGTGCCCTTGATTTCTCCTACAACAACGTTTTATTTTGCTTTGTGAGAGAGATACTTTTTTCGATCAAATCATATTTTCTATGATAAATTCGAACATATATTTTTATTTCTTATAATATAAAACATTATCTTTTCTTGAATATATTGAAGAGGATGATTTTGTAATTTTTGATCAAATAGAATCCTGGGTTGCAAACAGTGATTCGATTGATGATGAAATCAATATTCGATTGATTGGTCTGAGGTTATCGACAAAAAAGATTTTCTAATTCTTCAACATCAATCGGTTCGGACCTCCACTTAGTTTCACCCAAGCTTCATCCTGATCATGGATAGATCACCCAGGTTCGGGTCCATAAACAGTGACAATTGCCCTATGAAGACTCGCTTTCGCTACGGCTCCGATGGGTTCCCTAATATTTGATTACGAAATATATATATATATATATATACGAAATATATATATATATATATATATATCTATACTATATTATAAAGCATTTGGCTAAAACTCTTAAAAACTCTTAAACTCTTAAAACTCTTAAAAACTCTTAAACTCTTAAAAACTCTTAAACTCTTAAAACTCTTAAACTCTTAAAAACTCTTAAATCCGTTCATCCCATATCTGAATTCGTGTAAGTAACTGCAGATAAACACAATCAAATACAGGA